ATGGAGTTTTATATTTCTGGTATCAGGAGCACTATGGGTAACACACCTATTTCTCTTTGTTTATTTATTAATGTATGTCTGGGGGCAATGGGTTGTTGCAGTTTACCTCTGTAGACATGATTGTCATTGCACAAGATGCATTTCTGGGGTAGGAGATAGGTCTATCTGCTTCCCCAAAGAGGAAGGGCAAGTTCCAGAAGGCCCAAAAATTAAGGCTCTCTAGGTGCATGCCCAGCTTGGGACAACAGAGGGGTAATCAGCATCACCACTGGGAAAAAGGGAGCCACATACTGGATCCATGGCCTATGAAGTGCCCAAATTTGCCAGAACTGTATTCAATAAAACTGTGGCCCATTTTATCTTGGTTCATTCGGGTCATACCCTCAAACTGTACTGATTTGGCAGGGGTAGTCCTGATTACTCCTCTGCTGTTCATCTGTTTACAAAATGTTCCAATTTCTTTCTCCTTCCATCACTCTTTTTCCTGGGCTAACTTCAGTTACTGCAAATAGAGTTTAAAGTACAAAAACAGTTTGCATTCCATTAACATATCAGAAGGAAATGGAAAGGAGGGGGCAGAATTCTGCCCTTCCCAGTGGGCTTGGGCAAATGCAAAATGCTGCAGCCTCTCCTGGCTTGCATCTTCTTTCTCTGCCATCTTGAACTCACTCTGATGTTGCTTGGTCCCACACATCCTGGTTTTCATCACATTCTGGTTTTGGAGGGTATGGGCATTGGTCTGGTTTGTTCAACTCCCTCCTTCTCCCTTTAGCATCCGTCACTGCTAAGGCTGCAGTGTTCCTATTTAAATTCATTATTACTGTATGAGGGGGTATAGTAAAGTTTTAATTATCACTTTTTTAAAAAATTGACAGAAAGTTTGTTTTGATTTGTAGTTGTTAACTTATCTCTACGTAAAACATTCAGGGGTAGCTGTGTTGGCCATTTAGCAAGTTCAAACAAAGATCCATCAGTGATACCTTTATTGGCCAATCAAAATGCACAATATAGCTTGAAAAGCTGCAACAAGTATATTGTGCATTTTGTTTGACCAATAAATGTATCACTGATGGATTTTTGTTATCTCTATGTAGTCACCATCCAGATTTACACACTTTCCCCAGCATTTCTTGACCCTCTGAATACCATTATTGTAGAAGTCTGCAGATTCTGCCTTAAACCACTCTTCCAGTTCCTGATTGATCTCGTTTGTGTTGTCAAATTGGCGACCCCGCAACAGATTTTTCATTTTTGGGAATAGAAAAAGCCACTTGGTGATTATGACACTCACAAAATTTAATCAATATACCATAATAACTTCTGGGTGATAATTATTACTTTACGATGCCCCCTCATACTTCTTCATCTTACACTTTAGTCACTTTTGGCACAATGTGTAACAAAAATAAAGGACATAATCAGCTGATTTTCTCAACATCATGTACTTAAGGACCAATTATGACACTGATAACATTTCATCAATATACCATAGTAACTTCAGGATGATAATTATTACTCCTACTATACTGCTTGGAACAGGGCATTTTTCTGTCTCAAGTGGCAAACTTGTCATGTCTTGGGTACTCTGTAGTGTAGCGCAGTGGTTTGAGTGTTAGAGTACAACTCTGGAGATCAGGGTTCAACTCTCAGCTTGGCCATGAAACCCATTGGGTGACTTTGGACAAGTCACACTCTCTCAGCCTCAGGAGAAGACAATGGCAAACCTCCTCTGAACAAATTTTGCCAAGAAGACCCCACGATAGGGTTGCCTTAGGGTCTCCATAAGTCAGAAACAACTTGAAGGCACAGAACAATAACAAACCTCAAAGAACAAAATATCTTGGGCCACAATTGAATGGCTGTCTCCAAGTGGCAAGACATTTATGTTCAGTAGCAATACAGGTTCAACAAGTTCTTCCATGCCACCACACACACCCTAAAATAAAACAGACGCTGGTACAAAGAAACTGTCCAACCCCTTTGGCTCTTCTGTGTGGAAAGAGCCAATCTAAAGCCAGAATCCAATTATATATTTCTACTGTGTCCTATTCTTTCCACATAAACTGGTAATTCCCTCCTCCCTCCTACAGTTTTTTGATGCCACAGGAATTACAGTGGGTGTGGAAACAAATCCTAGCTTCAGTGGTGTTAAATACCAGAGTATACTACAGGCTGTAGGCCCAAGACATCAGACGTCATGGCTGGCCCTATCATCAGGCAGAATGAGTAGGTCACCTCAAGTGTTAAGTCCTGACGTATGAAGAACAACAGCAATGAGGATAAAATTCACAACATTCAGATGCAGCCCTTTTGCCATTAGGAATCTGTGTTGGAATTCTATTCTAGAGCCTGTTTGATTGTCTTCTGTATGTGGGACTGAACTTAGGGCAGGGCACTTGTCTTTCACCTCATGAAGCAAAACATCTTGGGCCAGCCATGTTGAAGAGCCAATGCCAGTTTACAAAACTGGATTGACTGGACCCCAGGCAACTGTTGTTTAAAATGGTCACTGTTTTGTGTGCAGTGGCTTTCTGTTTAGCCTAAGAATAACTGGTTTTGCTGCTGGGTAATGCCTGAAGGAGTCTTTTCTCTCTGTCTAGCCTGACTAAGAGAAAAGCGCGATGGTGGTTGTCATTATACAGCAGGCAAATGAGATCATTTTTAGAGATACAAAGCTTGCACTGTACCTTAAAGTGGAGCATGGTGACAAGAACAGAGATGCCAATTTGGTATGACCTCCCTAGAGACAGAACAAAGTAGAATAAATTAACAACTTGAATTCAAGAGCTAGTTTACATGTTTTATCACCCATGATAAAGCAGTTTTGAATATGCACAGCTCTGCTGATCAAAAGCCTGCAAATGGATATGTCTGTGAGCAGACTGAGGTCAGAAAGCACCAAGATGAAACCAGACATCTCCCATGGTCTACAAAACCACACAGCAGTACCTTGCTCAGAAATAGAATATCAGAATGGAATGCCCAGAAACTGGAGGCCCATTCACATTACAAAATATATATTCTGCTTTAATTCTGCCCACTATTTCCATGGCAACATATTTTGGATTCCTGGGATTGGCAGCCTAGGGAGGGGCATTTAAAATGCTTAGTCAGAGAGATCTAGTGCGTCACCAAATTACAATCCCTGGGATTCCTTAGGAAGAAGCCATGGCAATTAAAGAGGAATATAGTACTATATTTGAATAGTGTGAATAGGCCTTGGTTTTATAACTGCCTCCTTTAGGCATGATAGAATTCACCCTCTCAGTGGGTCCCCCCTTTTTTAAAAAATAATAAACTATGATGGGCATCCTGGAGATGTACAAATTGAGAAGTATTCACATTCACTGAACAAAGAAGGACAAAAGTTACATCCATTGGATCTGTCATAGGAGATTATTGCACTGCTAATAAAAGTGACTTACCTGAGCCGGCTTAAAATTTTAAACGGGCAGCATCCTGATGTTATCAGAAGGATTTAGCTGTTGAAATCGCTACCAAGGTCCATCCCGGGTACATCACTGCTCCCAGGGGCACTCCAGAAGCCATTTCCTTAAGCCAGAAAACTCCCGGCTTCAAAAAGAGGCATGCTGAACACCTCTGCAAGCGGGAATGGATCCAGGTGGTGATTTCAGCAGCTAAATCCGTCTGATAACATCAGGATGCCACCCTTTTTAAATTTTAAGCCAGCTCCAGTAAGCCGGTTTTATTAGTGATGCTATAATCTCAATAATTATAGCATTCAGGTCTGTGATCTGAGAGTTTCTGCAAATTACCAAGCAAACTGTTCATAGTGGGCTGTGGAGCTGATAAACGATACTTAAATAAATAAACTAGTGTTTGAGGTGTATGTAAGAAGAACATTATAGAGGAAGGAATAATTTTATCACTGATTCTACACAGAAATTCCTTCATTTTAGATGGTTCATATATAAAATTATCCACTTTCAGACTCTTCCCAGGTTCCTGCTTAGAAAAATGGCAGACAATGCCAAACATGTTTCCTCCCAGTTGCCATCTTCATGACATTGACAAATTAAACAATGGTTGTTTTAATCTTAGACACGAACAGGCTCGTACAATGGAACATTGTGTTCAACACACTCTGTCACTATGGAAATAGTGGGCAGAATTTGTAGAAGCACTCTTTGAAAGGGGGGTACCCTATATGTTGCATTTAGGTGCATCTGTTCTGAGTCTAAAACTATAGGCTTCTTATGATGCTTACCTGCAGAATACAATGTCATTTTTAAGAAGTCTCAACTATCCAGAAGTTTAATGCAATTTAATGCAATTCCACACCGGTGGGATGATCTAATACAGAATGAGCTATTAAGACCACTGTGCTAATTTGTCAACTGTTTTGTTTTGGTGCCAGGCACAAAGGCATTTAGCCCAGCTGTGTGATCTGCAGTTGTCCATGGCTGTATCTGCACTGCAGAAATAATGCAATTTGACACTGCTCAGTGCTATTGAATCCTGGGATTTGCAGTTTGTTGTGAGACCAGAGCTCTTTGTCAGAGAAGGCTAAATATCTCCCAGGACTACAAATCTCATAATTCCATAGCATTGAGCCATGGCAGTTAAAAGCAGTTACTAAATGGGAGAAAGAGAAGGACGTTCCTGAAAATAGGACACCAAAGAGTATACAAGTGGACAGCGGTGACAACTTGGATAATGTTACACTGTGGGAGAAGAAGAGCTTCCTTGGGTCCAATTTAGGAGAAAGGTGGCAAAGAAAGAAAAGAAAGAAAGAAAGAAGAAAATTTGTTCTCCTCCCATAATAACAGATTACAACAGAAACTAAATGGTCAGGGAGGAAAGAAGTGGTTCAAAGGTGGCCTGGTGTAAAAAAATAAGATGATTCAAAACATTAGGGGTCACTTTGTAGTCAATATCATCAATTTTCAACATTTTAGAAATGCTGATTTAGAAATAGCAGCTAGAATCCTCTATCACAGTCTATATTGTGTAAGTATGTTTGTCTCCTACATCATTTTTTTCATGTTCATTTCTTTCTGTCTTTACATGTAGTGGATTCCTTCTCTCTGAAGCTCGAAATAGGGATGAGCAGTGGGAGCAGTGAAATCTTGGATGGGAATTTTTCCCTTCATCCCAGTAAAGTTTTTAGACAAGGAATGCAATGAC